AGCCCATGCTGCAGATCTTCCTCGCCTCCAAACAATGAAGCCTAGATAAAGATTCTCAGCTTACCCCTCATTTGGGGGTAGGGAAGCAAGTGAAGGAACAAATGCCTTTTCTTAACATGTACTGCTCAGTTCCACAACTGGTTGATACAGAGAGAGAGCTTCATTCCTGAGACCACATGAATGAGGCTCACAATCAGAGATTTACTGGGAAATACAATTGACTAGCTACTGTGAAAATGAGAAAACTATTTACTTTGTACAATGTGAGACAGGGGGGTTTAAAGTTAAAAGGGATCAAAAGAATAACTAATTGAGAATAGATGTTTGGACAGTATATGATACTAATTATAATACAAAGCGGGGCTAGGCGGGGCAGGGTAATTAATATGAATAGATGGATTACGAAACTTAATGCATATGCAACATTTTGGGGAATAAATAGAGGGATAGGTTTTGCGAAAAGGCACGCATGTCTTTGGTGGAGCTATCCCCCATGCGCCTCAGCGCTGAATAAACTACATACCTACTTTACAACTTTCACGAGTTGTGGAGTCTTTCTGCTTCAAATGAACAAAGCCAAAGTTGTTCTACCAGTTGCAAAGGCAATGAAGCATTTGCAGTTATATCCACAGAATCCTATGATTTTGGGAACTTTCTGCATGTGTTACAAAACAACAGGAGCTGCCACATGTTCCCTACTTTTCAAATCTAGTCCTTACTTCGTAGTCATAGAAATATGAATTCAGAAATATGAGTTTTATGCTGCTGCTAAAATGCAAAAAAACTCTGTGGGTTCTGGCTATGAACACTTTTTTTTTTTTTTTTTTTTTAGTTTTCTAGTGTGTACCTACACCCTCTTGCATTATGCTTTACAGCTATGCCACTTTTGAGGCAGTTTCTTAACCACCTGACTTAAGTATTTAGAATTTATTTTAATTGTTTATTTTAATATGGTATACCTTTATCCTTATTTACTGTGATGCCTTTTAAAAATACTAATGTATTAAAATATAACAATAATGAAAAATGTAATTTCAAAAATTTACCTAAGTATTACATTGATACTGTTTTCTGTCCTATGAACTAAGATTTCTTTATCCACAGTAGGAGCTGTTGGTGCTCCTGTGCAGCTGCTGGCATGAATTTAGTTACCATTTGTTGCATTACCTTCTTGAGACTCATTGATATGCCAGTTCTGAGGAGACTGTTCAATAAACAACTCTTAAAAGTAACTTGCATGAAGAGGTTATTCTTCTGTTCTGATTACATTACTCTGCTATGCTGTAAAAACAAACTAGTAAAAAGTAGAACTGGAGAGTAAAACAGGTATGACTGACAAACAAGGAAGTGTAAGTATGCGGGCACCAGTGATCTTGGCCAGTTGAGACAGGAAAGCTGATCATACATGAACAACCTCATTTGGATGCGTTGCTGAGAAAACTGAAATTTGCCTGCACTGGGCTATTCTGAAACACATATAACCTATAGGATCAGGAAAAAAACATACAATCAGGACGGGATATTCAGATTGCTGAAAAGCAAGTTTGACATTTAGAGTATTCAAACTCCATTTGCTTCTGCATTCTTATCAATCTGTGAAAAATTCTGCTATGAAAGAGTGCAACTAGGTCAGTTCAGTTGGTGGTACAGAAAATGTGGAATTAAACTGCAATGCTGCAGAGACTGTTAGCAATAATTCTAACTGCTATTTTCAAATTAAAGGATCAAGTGGACATAACTTTCTTTCATTCATTTCACAGTATTTTTTTTCTGTAATCTCCATGCTAGTCTACCCGATAGTGCAGTATTTTATTATGACTTTTGCATCCAGAAATTACATACATTTTAAAGAGATGTAAAACAAAAGACACAACTACAATAACTCAGAAAGTTGTTTGTTTTAAGGTACAGGGCTCCAATTTCACTAAGAGGAAGGACTACTTTAATTCCATGTGTACTGAAGCCTTGTCTCCAACTACACTTAACACATCAGTAGGAGCTAATCTTACAACACAGATGAGTTCTCTACTACTGAAATCTGCATTTTCCTAATTTGTAAAAAAAAAAATGGTCCACATACAAAGTAAAATGGGTAAAAGTAAGTCTAAACTGAACAAATGTCCTTTTTATTCAGTTCCAGTTGTAGCGGTCTCTTGGAGGTAAATCATGATGTGTTCTCTCTTCCTTTTCAGGTCTGTAATCTAATGGCAGACCATAATTGTAATCAGCTGTTACAACTGGTAAACTTTTACTTTGTTCCATCTCTCTGGTAGTTTCATCTTGAGAAAGTTTTCTTTCATAGTCTATTGAACTATCTTCTTCATCTACAGATGAAGATGGATGCATTGTTTGTGAAGAATATGGTGCAAATCTGTTTTTTCCTCTATTGAATTCATCTGAGGGATGCATTCTCCTATTGTCTTCAGGACAATTTGGTCGATTACTGTAAGAAGAACAAATACGAACAGTGAAATCCTTAGAAATAAAGTGGTTGATTTATTCTTGGTGGCCACCACTAGAAATTAAACTTGTGTAACCTTGAAAGAACAATTCAGACCCTCATTCTTGTTTTTAGCCCCGGAAATTAAAATCCTGTCTACTGGATGTTGCAAACTTGTTTATATTAATTCTTCAATTACAGTGAATAAAATTACAGCTCTTTATAGTAAGTAATTCTACTAGAAGATGTTTTGTTTCAAGTGCTGTTTCTAATTAAAATTCCCTCTTTGCCAAGGGTTTCTTTACCTAGGGGCCATTTTTGTTCCTAAGCCCATGTTTTCACTTTTGTGATTAATATGTAAGAGTAGCCCTCTAGTACATAGTGTCAACAAGCAATAATATACTTCGGTTTTATATCTCCAATTATTTTAATTATTAATTATTCTATAATAGAAGAATCACTCTCCTACAAAATATGTATGGAAGGATCTAAAAATGCATATATGATATATATACTTTTTGGTTTGGATCCTCTTTACTTTCAAGTACTTTACTTACCTTGTAAAATAAGTGGTGTACAAAGCCAATTCAGAACAATCATTGTAATTTTAAGATCTTCTCCCTCACTAGACCATAGATTAATTTAGACTGGAAAGGTAGTCTAGAAGTACCTAAGTCCCCCTGCTCAAAGCAGGTTTAATTAGATGAGTTTGTTCAGGGGCCATGTCCAGTTGAATTCTGAGTATCTCAAAGGATGGGGATTTCACAGCTGCTCTGGGCAACCTGTTTCAGTGTCTGACCATCCCTCACAGTAAAACTCATTAGGTTCTTGCAGACAGCAGTTAAGAGTTAAATGTAGAGCCTATGTTTTGCTTTTTTGCTTGCTGACAATATTTTGCAGTACATTAGCTTGAACTGTGCTTGTCGTGTCAATGACTTACATTAGGGTTTCTCAAACCATTTCATAACCACACTCTAACTCAATACAGCTAGACAACAAATTAGTTGCATTATTTGATCAGTGTTCAGAGTCAATGGTTTAAACTGCATTTAAGTAAAAATATTAACATAAATTTTTACACTGTGCAGTTCATTTGTATTTTTTAGCTGGGAAAATGGGGGAGCAACAGTATAAAGGTAAGTCAGAAAACAATGTATGAAATCTGATATTTACCTATAATTTCTGTTAAAGTCATCATTATCAGACCCATAATCTCTGTGAAGTGAAGGAGATGAGGAGAAATGAGGTTCTGGTACATTTTCATGGGAAGAAAAAGATTGACTTCTGCAAATAACCAAAAGAATCACATGTACAAAGAGCACAAACAGTTGTAATATTTTGATGAGATAAAAATCTTTTTACTTTTAATTAAAATTTACTTAAAATTTTAATAAAAACTATCTTAATTATATTACTTTAACAGCTAAAAATGGTATTTTCATTGTAATGATATATCCTCTGTTTCAGCTGTACAGTGGAAGAGATTAAATCAAACTCTACTAGCCCAACATATATCTGAAATACATGCTGAAATATTAAAAACATTTTGAAATATTACGTCAGAGTCCAATAGGTTTACTAGTAAGTGATATATGTATTTGGGACAATAGGATGCAAGTTCAGAAGCAAAGGGATTTCTAATGAATTATGAACTCATTAAATAAACAAATGGAAGTCAGACTTCCTCATAGCATTACTGCTTTTCTCTGGCTTTGGGCATAAATAAAAATTCATATCCTCTTCGGTCTTGAGAATTCTTTTCAAATATAAGTTTCTATACAAAAACAAGTGGGACAGTGGGACAAAGAGTTTTGTTTCAAGCTGACTCTAAAAAGGTAAAGGAAACACAAGCTTTAATTTAAAGAAGCACTACCATCTAATTTAGGAAACATTAGCTTTCAAAGCTGCAGGACTCCAGTTTACAACAAACCCTTCCATATATATATATATAAGAGTTAATTAACTGTCATTTATATATGATTTTAAAAGGATGATTAACTGATTTCAAATTATTTTAAACAATTAATTAATTTGAAATTTAATTTAAAAAGTGATGAGGTTTACACTTTTATTCTCTATTTCTCCTCTTACAGCTCAAGGATGCTTTACCTGTCTGAACACCATTCACGTGGCAAGTCATCATGACTTGGATGATCATGAAAAGGTCTTGGCCTTTGTCCACGTCCTTTATTAACATAATAAAAATCTTCAAACTGAGTCTGTTCCCGTAAGTCATCATAAGGCTGATGGTCACGAAAAGGTCTGCGCCTTTGTCCAGGACCTTTATTATCATAATCTTTTAGCTGCATCTCTGTTTGTAAGTCATTGCAAGGCTGGTGATCATTGAAAGGTCTCAACCTCTGCCCATGACCCCTATTAACAAATTCAAAATCTCCCAATTGCATCTGTGGCTGTAAGTCATCATGTGACTCATAGTCATGGAAAGATCTTGGTCTTTGGCCAGGACCTTTGTTGATACAATCTAACTCTTTCAACTGCTTCTGAGTCTGAAATTCATCATGAGATTGGTGGCCATCGAACAGTCTTCGTCTCTGGCCACGGCCCCTGCTACCAAAATCAAAATTCTTTGATTGCCTGTCTTCCTGCAGATCCCTGTGAGATGGATGGTCAGAAAAAGATCTTTGCCTTTGTCCATGGCCTCTGTTAAATTCAACGTCCCTTGATTGTCTCGCTGCCTGTAAATCATCATGAAACTGGTGTCCATGAGAAGGTCTCAACCTTTGTCCAGGTCCCTGGTTACTGAAGTCTAGGTCCTTCAGCTGCATGTCTTCTGGATAATCATCGTAAAACTGGTGATCACGAAAGGGCCTTCGCCTCTGTCCTGGTCCTCTATTGTAGTCCCAGTTTCTCATTTGCATTGGTGCTCTTAAATCATCCTGAGTCTGATGGTCATGAAATGGTCGTCTTCTTTGTCCAGGTCCCTTATTAATGAAATCAAAATCTCTCAACTGTATCTGTCCTTGCAAATCATTGTGAGAGTGGTCATCATAAATTCTTAGTCTTTTCCCAGACCTGTAAAGAAGTTTTTGTCTTAACTAGAACATCATACTTTTAAGTGCTAAAAGTCATTAATGAAAACAAGTTGTTTTAACTAAGAATTGATACGAAAGACCAGACTATAAGTAAGACTATAAGTAAGATTATAATACTTTCAATGTCATAGTAAAAGCTGTGACAAACGTTCAGTTGTAATTCTACAGCACTTCTTAAACAGGCAAAACTAGTGATTCTGAATGAATTCAAAATAATTGCAGATTACTGTAGAATAATAAAGAAGGACAGACAAAGTAACAGTCTAAATTTTTCCAAGTGTACTAATTACTTACAGACTTCTAATAGCACACATTCCCTTTCTTTCCTTTATCTTTTCACTGTTTTGTCAAATTCTGTAAATATATTTTGCATGAGTAGGTTATATTAATAAAATCTCTTTTAAATTAGAGTATCTATAGTATTTTTAATGAGAAACAATTATCTTTCCCACTGTATGGAGTTTTTTTGGCTTTAATTCCATGTTGCAGCCTATTACCCCTGAAAATCCTCATTTGGGAACCGCTTTTAGGTCCTTCCGTTGCATGTTGGGCGGGAGTAATATCTTCATCTGAATCCCATACATCCATTCCAAGGTTACTAAGAAGAACAAACATCTCACATAAGCTTCCTTTTTTAAAACATACGACTGAGAGAGAAAAAAAAAAAACACCTCAGAAGATTCTTCAGTGTAGAATGACAGGAATTTTTGTATGTTAAGTTAAATTGACAGACATTCGTAACTTAGCAAATTTTAATCTTGTAAATTTATTTGGGGAAGGGCTGCAGGGAAAGCAAAGAGAATAACCAAACTTCATAAGCTTGGAACAACATCCTAAAGGATGTGAGACAAGCCACATACCCATTCAAAAATCTGACACGCGACTAACTTAATCATGCACAGACTATAAAACAATTATATGTTGCTACTATTATAGCAGTAAAACAAAGGGCATTCAATTAAACTAAGAAGACTCAGATCAGTCAGGTATTATTTTAAAATCAATTTACTGCTATAAGATATCATTGGCACAAATAACTTAGGAAGATGTAAAGGTTAGGTATTCTTCGGTGAATATGATAAGCATAAAATTCTTACATACCAGGGATACTACTACGATGAACAGAGGAGTTAAGAACAATCTTTCACATACTTTTTTTATTCCTGAAACTGTTATTAAAAAAAAATAAAAAATCTGGTTCTATCACAGCAACAACAGCAGGCAGATCATAGAGCTTATAAAGAAATCTTTGCAGTGACTCCTTTCAGCTTATAATGACAGAATACAGACTCAACACGCTTCTCATAGTATGATGAAACCACAGCAATGCTCAACAGTAGCTGTCAGAATAAAAAAATTGTCTGAACTATATGAATTCAAAAGATGAACAAAGGAAGTACACTGCACTTCATGTTATTCATACTAGAAGTCTTAAAATATATGTGTAGTTGCATATTAAAGGTTTAAGAGGGGGGTTAATTTTGGCTTATGACTGGAAGTGAACTTTTCAAAATACCAGTAGACATACCGGAAAATCTTAACCATAGAAGTAAAAGCTTTTGTTTACCTTCTCATTGGTTGTGTTCTGAGATCTGTGAGATATACAAGACCATCCATGCTATGACCTCTAGCATCACCAAAAGCTAAAGAAAACAAGATACAAATCTAATGAAATGTGCTCAAACTGAGTCACAAAAATGTGAAAGGCAAGTTTCTGTTCACCATAAGATGTTGAATTTGAAACAATTCTAATGATATTAAATACTTCAGTAAGCTGCCATCATTGCAGCATTTTTTTAAACAACTGAAACTAGTAGTGGTAGCAACTATGACTGAAAACGCTTCAAAGCAAAAGGAAAAAAAAAAGATTTTAAGCAGCCGAAACATACTCCTACTATGCTGTCAGTTTGCTAATCCTCAAGCCTTGCCTGGAATAGAATTAACAGCCAGTAAAAATCTTCAGTGAGATCCCGCACATTAAACAACTCTTAAGGATATTAAAATAGAACTGTAATATTTGTGAATGCAATTGTAGGAATTGTGAATTAGAACTCAAGATCTGCCTTAGTTCAAACTGTACAAATACCTTGGATTGCTGCCTCTGGATCCCAGCCTTCAACATCTATAAGATATCTGAAGAAAAATACAATTAGATTATTGTCCCAAAAGGATTACAGATTGATATAAGGACACTATCTTTTGTTATAAAGGTTTCAGGTTTTATACAACCCTTACCTACATATAAGGTAGCCAGTTCTATTAATTCCATTAGTACAGTGAACTCCAATGAGTTTCTCTATCAAAAAGGAAAACACAGTCTTTAATAGTTCAGAAAGTGAAATTACTAAAAAAATTAGTGCAAGACAAAAAAAAGTTGTACTTTTCTAGCAAAGTAATGATAAATAATGCTTGCTATTTACAAAATTATACTGTCATGCTGTAAAAGAACAGACACATGCAGACTTTGTCCTCTTCATACTGGATCTCTAGCAGCAGTTAGCTCACTACTTCCAAACCTGTGGAGACTAACTCTGCAGAATGTAGGAAAAAAGCAAGAGGAGTGATGACAGGTAAAGCGACTGGCTTCAACCAGAACTGAAATAACAGGAAAAAAAGAATAAAATACGATTTTGAAAGCAAATCTAAACAAGCAAATGTAAAATTGAGGAACTTAACTTACAGATTCTTATGAAGCTTACAAAAAGAAGAAAATAAACATTTCTAGGAGTATGAAATACATTATTAGACTAATTCATTTAACTGGGCTAAACATGTGGATTATTACTGAGATGAACCACAGAGATAAGGATTTTAGGTTCATGCGTGGAGAAAAGAAGCACTCTAATGGGAACCAGTAATCTCTAAATAAATCTTGTGGTTTTTGTAAAGGTTATACTAATCAGCTTAAGGCTAAAAAGGAGGATAACTTACTATTATTAGGGTGTTTCAAATTAGGTATTTCCAACAGAAATAGGGAAACACTAACATGGTCATGCAAGGTGCTGACAAAACCTCATCCAGAGTATTCCATACAATTCTACTTACCCGTATTTCATATTTAATGAAAAAAAATGAAATATGTATAGAAAGGTCTACAATCATGGTCACAAAAAAAGTTTATGAGAAGGGATCTAGGAAGTTTGTCTTATTTAGTCTGTAAAACCAAATCTGAAATACTGAAGATAATAGCGGAGATTGAGAACAACAATACTTAAGGGCAAATTTGGCATAAGAATAAATCTATATTAACTGACTGAGATTTTTAGGCTAGATTTTAGAAGAAAAACTTTAATCATCAGAAGAATAAAGTTGTGGCAAAATCGAAGTACTGACAGTCTTTGAAATGTGAATTTGATAAATTTTTGAATGAGATAAAAGGTAACTGTCACAGAACAGGACAGTCACATTGCTACATAAGTTTATTATAAGTTAGTGTTCTAACAATTCAGACACTAAAAAACCACAACTTCTCAAAAATTGTATGTAAGAACAAGCCTGAGAAATTTTAGGGGTATTCTGAAACAGAGGACAAGTTACAACGAGTAAGTTAATATAAAAATGAAAGTTCTCCCAACTCTCGTTATATAACCCCCAAGTTACATAAAACCTGAGAAAATGGTCTTACTAGCTGGAACTGCAGGCCTTCATCTAGTAACAAATTAGGAATTGATTCTCTCTCTTTTGAGAATCAGAAATAATTAGATTCGAATGCGGACTATTTGTCACATGAAAAATCACTAGATCAAAACCAGAAGAAAACTAATAATTTCCAAGTAATTTCCCTAAGCCAGAAAAGAGCAAAGGAAGAACTTGCACACTAACTTCCTGAGCAAGGATAAAGGCTTCTTCTTACACCTCTTAATTCAGGCTCTCATACCTGAGATTTAGGTCTGATCTCTTTCACAAAACAGAGTCGACCATCCACAGCAAAACCCCAGTTACGCTCTGCAGCAAAAACTGTATGCACTTGGGCAGTTAATATCTCTACTTTCTCACAGAGAATGCCAAAGTAACAACAGCAAATAGCACAAAGAAGTTTCAAAGAACAGTGCTCTAATATTGAACAGACAAACAGTTAGAGCCTGCCTATAAAGAATCACTAGCAAAAAAAAGTGAGAAGGTAAAAGCTGCAAACAGGATGTGGTAAAATACATGCAAATTTATTTTTGAAAAAAGTGCCTTATACCATCTCAGCAAGAACTGTACTATTGCATAAATACTAAAACAGCAGGAGATCCACACTGTAGAAACATTGACGCTGTGTGTAATATGACTGTTAAGAACTGCTAGGATATGAGGGCAATAATGGACCCACAAATCAAAAAACTGCTGTGTCAGACTAACTGGACTTAAGTTGCTCACACATATCAGTGCCACCAGTGAAACCCTGTGCTATTTACAACATCCATAAAGGGCTGGCAGCTACAACACTTAAGCTGATGGTAGACAAGTTGGGTCAGACAGATGAAAGCCTTGTTGCAGCTGCTTTGACACATAATGCAAATGTAAGTATAACACTATTAGGAAGGACATTTAAGTTAGTACTAATTTTTGAAAAATACATGTTTTGAATGCAAAAAAGATACATAGTGCTTCACATAATGTATCTTACTATGATAATGAAGTGGGAAGTGCCATGGAAAGTCCGAGATCCTTAGTGTCTTAAATATCTACTAAAACTAATAAATGATACAGTTAGCACTGAAATAAATTTTTTGGCTTTTACAGCATACAATGCTGATATTTACCATTTCCCGCATTTTCCCATAGGAATTTTCTGACCCATTTCTTGAACTGTAGGATAGTAGCATTATCAGGGACTTCAAGTCCAACAGTATAAAGTTTCTTATACTGCACACTTTTAGGTAAATCCTAGCAACAAGAAGAAAAAATGGTAAAAATTATTGAAGTCTTGCATCAAGTATCTAACATAAAACAGTAGTTCAAATCCTGAGTAGAAACTGAAAACAATCTTGATGCAATTCTGTAGAGATACACTCTTAGAAACTACAATTTACATTTCTACCTTAAAGACCTGATCTCAAACAAAGAACAGTTTCTACAGAAGATTTATTTATCCCTGCTAATAAGCCAGCACATTAACTAATAAGAGCAGATTCTTGTAATTCCATTCTAATGCATTTTACGATTATTAGCAATATTTGGCCCTCCCACCCACAATCATATATATATATATATACACTCACATATTCACCCCCTTAACGCATACAGCCCATGTACATTCAAAGATTAGCATTCAAACACTTCTATGTTCTGTTCTCCTTTTCAATAGGAGGCTGATTAATCACAGTTGTTTGGACCACACTGCTAAAAAATTTGAAATTGATAAAGTAGTTTAAAAATGTACACTTTCTTAGCGGACTCCACTGAAGATCAGTAAAAAGAGACCCTAGGAGTAAATAAGAATGTCTTCAGGAAACAAACTGTAAGTCTTCCTCATTTTCTCTGCAGTGCCTGGCACTGAAGTCTTTATCCATTACTCTGAGTTACCATAATAAAAATAAGCTAAAAATGCAACTAGCTGTGAGAACAAGTTATTTCCTCTGTGATAAAACATTTAGTTTCTATTGGAGACACAAAATAAGTCTAGATGGCTCACTTGTTTATTCAAATTCAAGGTAAGCAAGTGTGTAAATACTTTAAAACAAAGGTTGCAGTAACTATTTTATTATTATGCTTACATTACCTTAACTTCATAGTATCGTGTGGTATATGTTAAATCAATAATTAATCCAAGCTCCACATTTAGGGCTTTCATTGCAGCAATTAAGTCTTTTGGTGTAAACTTCTGGGTTGGGGTAAGCCTCTGGTTAATTGCCTACAATGAAAACAGAAAAGAAAGATTTTCTTTTTCAGTTCCAATAACAAGACATTCGTAATATTCAGTTCTTTTAGTTAGGACCAGGACACATCAATATTCAAAAGGAAATGTTTACAGGATCAGAACCATATCCATATATTATACAGACAAAAGGAATCAAATAAAAAGAAAGCAAGAATTTGTGTATTCCTCTTTCAGATGAAAATGCAGGAAAATGTGTGAGAATTTCTACCTGTACAATGTTAACAAATATTATTAAAAGAAGCACTAATTCGATAGATAAAAAAAACCTGCAAAATGCAGCATGTATATACTGATATTTCAGTAACTAAACATCAGCAAAAAGCAAACCACCACAATCCCTTTTTCTTCAAAACATACTTTGTCCTGCACAGTAACACAAAATTAACTGTGTATTTATTTCACATAAAACATCAGAAGTTGTGATACAAGAGTTCATTTCTTCTAAAGGTTTTAACTTTCTCCTCACAAATGTTGTGTGGACAAGTCCGTACTATACTACAATGTTACTGTTAGCATTACAACAATGATCTGAAAGGAAGGGCAGAAAATCCTTCCAAGTAAACCCATGACCTTAAAGCCTTTACTAGTAGCACATCTTCTGCTAAAACAATAACCCTTGACTCTTGAAATACTGAAAATATGCTTTCTCCCTTTGGGTGAAATCACCGATCATCTATTTCCTAACAGGTAGCAAAGACAGAAACATGCCACATATTTAAGAGGTCTGTTCCATCAGTTTAATAGGAGGACTTCTGACCAATCAGGTCTTCAGCATTTCTGGACAGATTTAATTACCTCCATCATCTTTGCAAAGACATCCCAGTTTAGCCAGTTATGTATTTTATATGTATTCTGCCACAAACTCCATGAGCTTCAAGCACATAGTTGAGACTGAACAAACTGAAGGGACAGAAATGTTACAGATTTTGCTTTCTTGGATACCAGATTTGATATCTGTCCAGGTTCAAAGACAGAACAGGGATCTATACCCCAGTTAGATCAGTAGGACTGGAAGTGAGCAACACATTGAAGTAGAGTGCCTACTTCTGATATATGGCTATAAATGTTCTCTGAGAATGTCTGACCTTTTTATAATCTCTGGTGGAGCTCCTTACAGACTATCACAGGAGCTACAGAGGAAGAATTAATCACCAACAAAGTATCTTCCTCTGAAATCTGGTGTGACAAGGTCAGGGAACGCGAAATATACACACTAAATGAATCTTGCCTAGAATAGTGCATCTATGCAAAAAACTGGTACTGGATTGAGTGGAATTACAGGACCTAATGACACAAAAATTCGCTCATATACTTCAACAGGAAAAAAGCTAATTATAAAGCTACTGAATTTTCTATTAACTGTGAGATCTGTCCACTGTCTCTGGTAGAAGGACACACAACTATTGTACTACCCATCAGTACCATGGAGAACATGACTAACGTCAAGTATGAGATCCTTGGTGTCAAAGGAACCAAACCATCATACTAAAGTTGTAAAAGCAGCTGCAGGAAGCAAACCCTGCAAGCATTCCATTTCAGTGATTGCTGATAAAAGTGAACTGAATGGTGACTGAAAACATAATGGGCACTAATATGCCCAAAGAACCAAATTTTTATATGAATACTTGAGTGCAATATACATATATCATATATATATTTTATATATATACACTCTTAAGTGATAAGGTTATGTCTAGACACTGAATTTAAAAAGAGCTTGTAAACTTTTAACTTGTAAGAGTTAATTTATACACCACTTGTGTTGATTTATACAGAAAGGCAAATTTGGCCTATTTGCCCAGATTTGCCCTATGCCTCAATCCACCAAAGAACTAAAGAGCCTAAAAAAAAGACAGCCTCCCCATTTTGATTTCATTACTTTTGCAGTGTATCTAATAGAGTTAATCTGTAGTTACTTTTTATACCTACCCCTTTTAAAGGTACTTTGAATGCAATAAATCTAGTTCCTGGTATAGGCTGTCCAACTGGTGTCAAACTCCGCCATCTGTAATGAAACAAATATTTATTGTTAAATATTTTCATATAACATGGTTCAACAGAAGACACTCACAGCTTCATGTAAAACTTTTGAAAAAAAAGAATATATTTGCCCTTAGGATTAAAATTGTGGTAAAACAAAGCACATAAAAATTATGCTCCTTTAAAGTTATAACAACAGTTATTTCAAACTTTGTGAAGTATCTTACAAATATCAGGCAAATCTGGTGCCACATAGTTTGAATATAATAGCTATTTCAAACTTCTCCAAGCAGAAAGATACAATAGGTATCTTTTTTTCTATGATGGGCCATGCAGCTATCAGCATAATATATAAGACTTCCAAACAGCAGTATCCAATAGTTCCTGAAATTCCTTGACCACATAAGCAAGCAATCATAGCTGGTGTGCACAAATTTGAAAAAACGACCAATTATATCCTGATATGCAAGTAAAATATTTTTTAAAATCCATCTTCCATTAGAAACTTGCCTGTTTCTCCAAGAAATTAAGATCTTTTTAGAATAACTATTCAAATTTTATTATATATTATTGTGTTATAATATATCTATTTTATATTTATATGCTAAACGATTAGCATTACTTTGGGATAAAAGAAACAAGGAGTTGCCTAAAAGATGCTGGAAGAATATTGCTACAGCACTGATCAGGGCAGAAGCTTATTTAGGACACTACACAGCTTAAATAAAGATATATGTATTGTTTGCAAGTCTAAAGTCAGGAGCCATAATAAAATGAATCTTTATTCTCTGCAGAGCGCTACCACCAAGAAAATACTTCTTAGAGATCATAAGCACGATCCTTCTTATCATACAGTAGAATTATGTCCCCAAAACTGCAATTATTCTGTGAAGTGGTTTCAGGGTATCATCAGGACATTTGAAAGCAGTCTTTTTCTTTCCTTCTTCTTCAACTTCCAAAAAATTCCTCCCCTCAAAATGTTAGGACAGCATTTACAAACAAGTAGCACCAATATAAAGCAAAGCAGATGGGTAAGGTTCAACAGGTAAAAAAGTATTGTTGCTAGTGGAAATTTTTCAACTTGTCTGAAACAGACACCTTTAAACAGTTGTCATATGCCTGTATCAATCATTTAATTGACAATGAAATGCAAAGTTTACTTTCATTAAAAATACAAAGTGTCCTTTGTAATATGCTTCTTTTTAAAAGAAACACTCTTGAATGCATTTTCTCTTGGTACTTTGAAAAATACAGAGAATATTCCATCACACCAAAACTTAGCAAAAATCACCTACTAATATGAAGATTTCTTACATCACTCAAAATACTAGTAATTCCAAAACCACAAAGAACTGGTATTCACAGATTCTACATTGTACTGAAAAACCCCTTGATGTATCACATTTCAGAGATTTCAGGTTTTTTAACAAGTATGAAAAGCTTTATCTGAAGAGGGAAACAAGTTCATCAGCAGATCAATTTTAACTTCAAAGAGGTAACTTACTAAATTTAGGACTTTTATTTCTTCTCCTCATGTGAGGACCAATAATCTCTATGACCTCAGAACATGCAGTTGGATGACTTAAAATCACCATAGTTTGAAAAGCATTGCTCAAATAATTACACATCGTGTATTATAGAAGAAAAGTGTTCTAACTTGAGATGTCTTTCCAAGTGAATGTTCAAGCTTGTAGACTTTGGAGTCTGGTAGTTGTACATGAGTTGTAAAATAAGAAAACAAAAATCTGAGACTATGTTTATCCTTGTTTAATAGAGAAAAATTGTATATGAATCAATTCAGACTACAAACACTGAAATTGGTCTGAAAATATTACAAAAGCTAACAAAAGCCACAACATAATGAAATATCTTAGTTGCAAGAAGTGCTCAGTGAATTCCAAAACACTCAAAAAGGAAAATTATTGTAACTGTAGAGAAACTCAAGTCTGAACTACTGTTGGCCATAGCAAGACTATTTAGAAGATACTATTTGGAACCTCGTCTCCTTTTTTTGTCTACTGGTACTGCATGATATACACAGAGCTTTATTTCCCAGTTGGCTTCCATACCTCTATGGACAGCAGATTCAATACCATTCTGCTGAAGAAAAGATAGCCCTACAAACACCATGACACACTGTCAAGACAGAACACATATTCAACAGGTCATAAGTGTAAGGGAGGGAATATAGCTCTTAATCTTCTGTTACTACATAGATTCCTCACTTTGCTTTTGTTCAACCCCTGTAACTGGGATATAAATAAGCCACAACTTATAAAAAATAGTGCGGTGGCAAAGTATGGGAGAAAAGTTTCCTTATCAATAAGTAATTGCATAGCTTTGTACTTGTGCTCTATTGTAACACAAGGTATGGGCTTTCAAGTCTTATAGCAGTATTATCATTACTCAGGTATTATAGAAGTAATTACTCTCCACCTCATATTTTTAAAGGCAAACATTCTATGCCTGATGGTATGAAGCACTTTTACTTTACAAATAAACTCTCACCGTATGGTAATCCTTTTCTCCCATCCACCCTTGAACATGGACAGTTATGCCATAGACTTCAGCATTCCTGTCTAAATGAAAATGCTGATGCTTTTACGTCTGCACAGAAACAATTCAGTTAAAGTATGTTTATGGTGCATAGGCAGAAATAATTTGGCTTTGTCCTTGTAATAAAAAGATCCCACTCCTGATATTTTTTATACCATTTAAGGGAAACATGCAAGAAGGTGACATTTCTGCAGATGCTTTTCAGAACTGAACCTGAGTTTATGACATTATATCCACAGCAGGATTTTGGACACTGATGCATAAACCTGTATAAATCTGTAAAAACATCATAGTATTTTATGACTGTTTGTCATGTAACTTGAATTCCTTTTACTGACTGGTTCTCCAATAAAATACTATAGTATACAACCACTGAAAGACAATAGCATTTCAGACACTGTGAAGAACCAGAACCTGACTACATGGTGGAAACTGCAGTGCAAGGGGTCACTTGAATCCCTCTCTTACACTGATGTCTCACTTGGTTACACAATTACTTCTCCACCACTGCTTTCTAGGACTGAGACTGCACTGGACATGGTACACCTTACCTCTGCTCCAAGACATTACTGAAAAAAGGGAGAAATGCTTTTTGCTATGAAGGAGTACAGGAAGTCTTACTTCCAGTCCACCTTTTCCTCTCACTGCTGGAGCAAAGACTGTGCAAATAGCACCAAATCAAATGTTCTTGGCTAGGTCTGAGTGACAGGGACACAAGAACAAGAGTGAGCCAAGAACAACAAGGTACAAGACTGGCAGTGCAGATCCAGTGGCAACATGGGCAATTAATACTACTTTAATACTACTTTACGTGCTGAGTACACTCAAGAGTGCTGATATCTGGCAAGGTTGCTCAGTGCTATAACACAATCCTCACATAAAGGCAACTTCAATAACATTGTAGACACAGTATTGTAAAAGGTGATAGTAATTAGCCAAACAATTTTTTTTTTAAATCACCATTTCTTGTTTAGTTGCACTATTCCTAGCTATTTGTAACTTAACTGAAATCTCAAATTTATTTTATTGCTTTAATTAGCATAGCAGAATTTGGATTAAAACTGTTGAGAACTGCAGAAAGAATTGAGACAGTAACAGAAAGACAGCCTTAAAAAATGTCTACATGTAGTGTGGCTTTCTTTTCTTTTTCCACTACAGTGTTTCTCTTGCAGTATCATTAAAAACAAAGCAGTTACTGTAACATTTCTTGCTATTACATTACTGTGATATGATTGAGGCTGTAATTCCATAGTATGACACTCTCTGGACCAGTCCCTATGCTATAGTGTACCACAATCTCAATTCTGCCAACTATTTTTGGGCCAGTAAATGGCACATGCACCTAGGTTAAAATTAGATTTCCTTGGTTTCTTTTCCAGTGTTCACTGCTATTTTTTCCTGGTTTACTAATCTCACAGTGAAGAATTACAACATGCTGTGCAAGCACAAGGATGGCATAAATATACTGACATATATTGGTTGTCTCAAAAGTCCGTAAACTCTTTTACTGCCAAAAAGCCAATACTGTGAATGTCTAACCTAATTTGTTAATAGTATCAAAAAGTAACTATGTGGAGAGGTTGAAAGCACTTCAGTATCATGAGCTTTGTCAGATGATAACCAGCTACCCCACAGTAGACCTTTCTCTCCTTGAAAAACACACAGGTATTAGTTTCCGATTGTACAAGTCAAAAGTACAGTCTACTGCTTCTTCCGTACTTGGAGAAAAAATACATGTAGGCTGAAAGCTGCTCCAGTTCAAATGCAAGGGGAAAAAAGAACGGAGAACTGAGCATCCAATTATTAAGGTTTTAGTAATAATTTCCAAGTTTAGAGAAAACAAGTACAGTTATTCTTTGAGGCTTTCTGCATTACTGCTTGGAAGCCTAACTGACTTTAGCTCAAGTTTGTCCAACTTTAACTGACATTTCACAGAAACTTTCAGAGAAAGACATGCTGAAATAACTTTTCTTAAATTTTGTTCTAATTTTAATCCCTGAGTTTGTCAGCTATGAAAAAAACCTTCAGTTTCTTGAAGTTGTTTTTCAAATTTTCTTCATCTTTTCATTCTATTAATACTTTTAGGCCAACACATTTTGTAGGAAATCATGGGTTTTTGTATTTTATTGCTCCTCCTAAGAATGTTAATAAAATTATTTAACACATCCCCTGAAACCAGGATGTCTACCTTACCTAAAATAATGTATAAAGTTATCATCTATTACAGTGCTCCTTTATATCTCAGCACACCCTCCTATCCAAGAAGTTTGTACTGATGTCAGCAGTAACACACGGGCCAAACTTTGAATAGACCTGGAGAATAGAACAATATGTTTTAAATTAGATCATTCTGTGGTCCCCATATGCACTCCCAATCAAATAATCAGAAAGCCAGTACAGTGCATTTGGGGTTTTTTATTATTATTTTTGCTGATAAAACATTTTATTGTCCTCTTTGAAAACAAAAACGT